CTTTGGTGGTCGGTGAAAAGGGCTTTAGTCAGTGCAAATTTCGTTTCGCAAAAACCTAACCTTTCATGGAAGACCACGAATTTTACGTGAGTGAGTTATTTTAATCGATACATTTGGAAGAGCTTGGGTCATGTAGACAGTATCTCGGAATCTATAAATAGTGGATTTTGGTTACAACTTACGTCGCTTTGAAAAGCCAAAATCCAAAAGTTGTTAAACGATACTTGGTGACTCTGTAAACTTGCATACAAAGGAAGGCCAAGCATTCCACGCGCAAGACCTCTTAGTTATTGTTGAGTATTGTTAGTGAAACACGAATTGTTTTTCAAATAGTGGAGCTCGTTTCATTAACCTGATGATACTACATCCCTACTTTTCGCTGTCGGCCATTTTTTGCAGCTGTAGAAACAAGATATTAATGTCCCCTCTCCAGCAGCCAAAACTCTGTACTCCACCTCCGAGACTACTCAGTTGCTCACGAAACCACCTTCACATCTCACAGACGTAATTTGTTCGTTCTTTGCCAGCTCGCGGGAATAGTACTCTCTCTGTCGCAAGACAAATGAAGTTTCTTTACCGTTACTTAAAACAAATTAACAGTTGTGTTATTATGTTTGAGGCAAGCTGTTAGTAATTAATATTTACCAACGTTGTATTTGCCTGCAGTCGCGATGAATCTTTATGTTGGATTCAGACCTTTAGCTTGCAATTTGATAGTTTGGATGATTTTGTCATTTGTGGCTGATGAACGGAAAATATTGACAGCAAAGGAATTACACACTTCAGTCGCCATGAAACAGTATGCTTGGTGGAAAGTGTGCGTTAAAGAGTTCACTTATTGTAGAAGCATCCAGAGGATTGAAGAGAATAGTGATCTAACATTAAATATCGATAGAAATTCAAATGAATCTGCTTTTAACTTTGGGGTACTCGATCGCAATGGATCAGCTGTTCACTGCAGAGAAAATGATTTTCGTTCGAAAATTGTTAACAAAATAGCTGATGAAGTGTTGCAGGGAGGTGTTCCGAAGGATCACCCGGCCGCAGTTGGCGAGGAAGGTCCTGAAGAAAAGCACGTCGACATTGGAAGAACAAGACAAGGTGAGTTTTTCCTTCTTCAGGGTTTTATTTTTTTCTACACTGAAGGTCAAATCCCACATGATCCGAAGGATTTATATACCCCGCAGATAAACTTTGAAATATCTCAAATTCTTCCACCTGAATGGAGCGAGGAACTTGGAACAGGATTGGAAAGGAGTGGTTGTGGTCAAATTTAAAATATTATCCTGGCGTTTGCCTGGAGTGACTGTGGAATACACGAAGAACCCCCGGATGGCCGGGTTCCAGGCCGACAATTAGTCTCTGGGTTAAAAATACACACAGCTTTGCCTCTGTGAAAAATGTAGCCCTTCGTTTTCAAAACTCGCTGCTATTGCAGTATGCAGTGCACTGAAACATACGTCTTGGTGCGTTATTACTGCAAATGAAATGACCCTCCAAGCAAATGCCAGGACATACCTTAAGTGAGGCCACGACAACTTCCATATACTTTCCAATTCATTGCTCATTATCCGTGTCATTCGACTTTATATAATTTGAGATACTGACAGCCACGTTAAACAAATTACAAATACATGAATTAAGCGTAGGCTAATCGAAATCTCCCGTGTTTTTATTTTACTCACAAAATGCAGTAGTACCGAACGCAGACGTTGCAATATCCTCAGTGAGAAAGGTGGTAACTCCTGTGAAGTGTTTAACTTGGTCTTCAAAGAGTTACGAAACGCTGACTCGTAAAAGGCAAGCCACTTGTAATACAAGTAGGTCTTGCCTTCACGCATACAGCGTGTCTGTCGTGAAGTTACGTCTCAGTTTCACAGCTGTCGAATCAGATGGTTTTGATAAAATTTGCAGCTGAAAATATAAACATTTTATTCGTTAGACAAAAGGTGTGGTTGCCTATACACAATTTATTTTTGTATCAGATCCCGGGCATTCTTTTCAAGTCTGCGGATAATTTTTATAGGTTAGAACAAGAAACAAAAGCAAGTTGACTTCATCTGAAGTATGAGTACTCTGGAATTAATCTTAGCTACAGTTTTTAACGTTGACTCCTAGTAAGCTACCAGATTCCGTGCGGCAAATCTGTAGTGACCTGACGTCAGAAAAGACGTCGAATGTGTAGTTGATGTTTTGTGTAACAGATGTCACTGTCTGGCATTCCAGATATGAACCTGGCTCGCCAGATAGTGTCCTTCCTGCCGCCCTTTGTGCCTTCGTCCTCGACGCGTGTGACGAACGAGCAGTGCATCAAAGACAGCGAACGCTACCTCCAGGAACTCGATGACCTCGCCCTCTGGGCACTTTTGAGTGAGTACGGTTTAGTAACCCTATGAAGCATGACCAACTAATCAACCAAACGAAAATCTAACTAAGGAAGGTTATCCCGTCAGGCAACATGTCCTTTCTGCAAAGGATTTTGGTTGGTTGGTTGGTTGGTTTTCTGAGGTTTGAGCCCAGAGGGGGCCTTGGCCTTCTGTTCAGGGACAGCCTCTGTTGGCGTACTGAACATCAGTCCCCCTCGGTTGCCCTCGTTTGGCACAAGTGCCTCCCGAGTTGCCGGACTAAGAAGGGGTTCCCCACACCAGCTTTGAGTCGAAGGTCTCTTGGTCAGTGCTCTGATGTGGTTGGCATTGAGCGGGACCCCCCAGATCCTCGTGAATTTGCAACATTTGCAGATTCCTGACGTGTCTGCTGAAGTACGAAGAGAGAGAGAGAGAAAGAGGAAATTGGTGGGGGAGAAGTGAGAGACACTTCGATATCTGGGGGGGAGAAAGAGCATCTTATAGCTAGAAGGTCCCCAGGCAATGCCCGCTCGTCCTTCTGTTAAGGATAAAGTAAGAGTGAAGGCGTTAGTGTGATGATTGGCATAAAAGACGGAATTTTGAACTTTGTATTAGCGAAAGCTGAGGCTATTAATTTGGAAGTTTAATACATAATTTAGAAGTTCCTACTGAGGGGAGGGGGGTAAATTTTGACGGCGTTAAGGGGTGGTAAATTTTGATTAATTTAAATCGGGAGGGCTGCATGAGAAGCTTGCAGTGGCAACTTGGAACTTGGGAACCATCTCAGCATTTGCTTGAAGACAGAGGAAAACCAAGGAAAACCTGTGTCGAGATGGCCGGTCGCAGGACCTTCCGGGTGCGCGCTGACTACTAGCCAGCGGTCCGGCAGACAAAAGGGAGATTAGTACGTCCCCTAGGTTTCCCTAACTTGTGCCATGGGCTTTATTGATAAAGTCAGGTACATCTGATGCAATAATACAACACAATATGATGGATGCAGGTCATCCGTGTTTCCGTGGTCTTCTTCAGCTGATGGTTTCGTGGTCCGGTCCATGGTAGGAGTTCCGCTGGAGCGTCCTCCGATGAAGTACGAAGCTCTGCGGAATGATGTATAAGTATTCTGTCCGTACCGCAAAGAAAACACTACACTACACCATTACGCAAATCAACTGCCTTCCCCATGCATGCTACATGTAGTGCCTATAATAAAAATGCGCTGAATACTCTGATGGTCTGTTCGTTGAAGGTAGAAAATGTGAAAATTCTTTTTATTAAATCTTTGTAACCAGCGGGTATACGAACATGTGGAACGCGTTTTTGTGGTTTTCGAACTCATTTTAATAAGTGAAATTGACGTACGTTCTGCAACTTTCCGCATAGACCAGTTCTGACCAATTTTTTTTCCTCGCTGCATCGGGCAGGTTAAATCTTTTAGTATTCCGATGCCTCTCCGCACAGACTGCGTTATATCATCGCATAATAAAACCAGTTAGTGGCATTAAGAGGTTATGGTTCTTGGATCGTCCGTTCCAGACACGGATTGTAAAGTACTGAACAGGCAGGCAACGTCTCACATGTGCAACTCCTTGGTACTCCAGTGTTTCGCTCGAGATACGCGTGTTGTAGGGACGTTTCGGCGACGTGCTTCATGGTCGATATGTGGTTTCATCTTTAAGTAATCTCAATATTATTTGCGAGTAACGCATGTAATGTGGTAAATGATCCAGGGTCAGAATTTGTCTCTGAGGATTTAGTTATTTTTATTGATTTTGAACAAAATATTTTGGTACTCTTTCGGACTGAATTTGATCATAACTGCATTATCCTATCGTCTAGATCCTGGCAGTACCACGGAATAAATAAATCACTAATTATTAAATTTTCCGATGCTTTTAAGTCAGTAAAGTGTTCGGCGTAAATGCTGACCGACCAGGTTTGATTCCCGACAGTGTAGATTTCGCCTCTTCGTCACTGGGTCAGTATGAGCTCTGGGGGCCCACTTTGCCCCCTTTCCAGTGGTCATTGGGGGCTTCTTATTTGGACAAAACCACCCAGCTCATTCTAATGCCGAGGTTAAGAATGTGTGGAACTATACCTCTACTCCCCCCCCTCCATACGTCTGCAAGACTTGGTGATTAGTTAAGTACCACAAAGTTTCATCTTAACTGAAGTGTTTGTTTAACACTTGTTATATCTGCAGTCAGAGAATGAATTTCGTCATACCAGACAACAGATTGGTATGTACGACGTCAAAACTTTCACCGATGAAAAAAGGTAACATTTTGACCCCTGACAAGTTGTGATGTATGGAGTTTGCATTCGGAATTAGGGGTGTACATAGTCAATGCTGCCATCAAAAACAGGACCCAGGGTCCACCTACTGGTCTACTCGGCTCCAAAACCCAGATCATCATAATCATGCTGTGAAAACCTCGCACATGTTTTCATCTTCAGGGTTGAAATGGCGATGCTTGGAAGTGAAGGGATCCTATATAACCCTGTGTACCCCCATGTAAATCTCTCACATACCAGCTTCGCCATTTCAGCCCTGAGGATGGAGACGATATGTTTATCCGAAACGAGTCTCACGACAGTAACAATTGATAACGTAACGTATCCTCATGTTTTATGGAAATTAGCTCCGCCTTACGTAGACCCATAGCTAATTTATGCAGACAGGTGGTCAGGTAACGATGTGTGTTGAAACAATGAAGCCTCAAATCAGACAGAAACTTTCTCGATAATTGTTCCTCCCGAGCCGAGTAAAACCGTGCGGGCAGCTGATGCCAGGCTCTGTCCGTTATCTGCCGAGCGAGTGAATGGGATCCGTGGTGGAAACAAGTTTGTGCTGTACCTTTGATGCCCCCCCGCAAACCCCTCAGGGCTGTCCAGACTGTAACACTGACAGCACCCGGACCGACCTCTTCTTGAAGTCCGGACAACGCGTTCAGCTCACGAACTAAAGTAACCGAACGGATTGTTTCTGACCTCCAAAACGATTTAGACGCAAGTTTTGAAAGTTTTTTTTTTAAATAAAATCATCGCCGTGTTTGTAATTGTCGACTTTTACACATCAGTTTAAGTTTTTTTTTTTTGTAATTTATCTTTTCCAGCGATCCATTAGTTGAATTACATTTTGCGCATGGCTGCCATGTTCTTTTTCATTCAACAGAAAGTGACCTCTATAAACATTCCACTTTTTCAAAGATAATTACCATTCATTAGTTTAGAATTTTAATAACAATAGAAAAAAATATCTCCCAGCTCACAATTCCCTGTGTCTATTTTATCTTATTTTATTTAGTGTTCTGTCTGACGACAGGTCCATATGAACAGGATCCTTCCATCCTCTTCTCGGACTGGGACCTGTTCATATACGTTCTTGGCAGATGATCCAGAAGTGGTTTGCCATTGCCTTCTTCTGTGTGTGAATGGAGTAATTGTTGGGATGCCACGGAGAAACCGGGGAAGCCCCCGGAGGAAAACTCCGTGTTGCCTAGACCACGGCCTTGCCCAACACAAGCTATAAATTCGGGCACCGCCGGGAATCGAACCCGAGACCCCAGGATTACAAGGCCAGCGTGCACATGTCTCCACTGTCCATTCATAATAATTGCATCTTCAAAATCTTCAAGAGTTTACGGTTAATGGCTTCTTCTACCCCCATTAGGGTATCCTTTGGTCAGTCACTTTTTTTCATAAGTCGACCTTTCGTTCTTTTGTTTCAGGGCCCATAATTTAAAACTCTTTTTGATATGATTTACTAATTGCGATAAAATATAGCGGTATTTTGATGATTTTGGATGTTCACAGTGCACGACTCATCTGCCAAATTACCCCCTGGACTGCTGAACGGAAATGTGAACCAATATGGCGACCTCGACCAGTGCCTGAACGTGAGGTCTCCCCGGAAGGGCGGAGTCATCAAGGGTCGCTACTGTCTCACAACCATGTCCTTTCATCTATCTGACCCAGACCACCCACTCTTAAGCCACGTCCGGGAACTGCTACTGTCACATGGGATGCTTCGCAGCGAACTGGATGATGTGAGTTCATCCACTTATTCTCTGGAGTAATCAAGCGGTATCGCATATATTTAAAACAATATAGGCTTATGAGATCGCCATTTTGTTTTGTGTCAGTCCGATGCCTCTTAATTTCATGCAGTGAGTAACAAACGCGTGGTATAGTTAGCGCAGTAAATTTTGGCTGGGGGAATTTTCAAGGGGAAGGCTAGGAGCGAGTCTCTTGTGCGATAATATAATGCTGACTGCACCGAAGAGCTTATCGGACTGAACGCCCAAACAAAAGAAATGCACTGGCCGTGCTATCTCAGGTACACAGAATAGGCCCGCCCGCCAGCTTCTCCACCTGCCAAAAACTACTGCGCCGACTATAATGCGCAAGTTTACGAGGTGAAAGTGATGCTAGCAACGCGCAACACGAAGTCTCGAAGTAATATGTGGTAACAGACCTTTAAAAACATGCAAATGTGTAATTCCAGTTTGACGTTGATAACTAATGAATCATTCGAGCTAAGCTTTTAGAATTTCGTATGATAATAGGTAATAAAGACATCTACGCATTGCGTATGAAACATCAACCGAGAACCGCTCGTTTAGTGATGTGTGCTGTATGTGTGTTTCTGCGTAAATACTCAGCCCCCTTGTAAAGTGCGCATGTTGCTTGAATTTCAGCCAGGACACCGTGTTCCTCGCTTCTCAGCAGTCCACTGGGCTCTGTGCGTTCCTGCATCTTGCAACTCTTCAGATGTTCAACTTGCTCTTGCAGACACGTTGCAGAAACACGCGGAGGGGACAGGAATTACGTTCAAGGTCAGAGTCGCTGCCGGTATGTGCCAGACAAAGGACGACAAACTCCATCTACCGTTGTCCACCATTATTGTTAGGTAAGAAAGTAATTAAGTTAAGTTTACTTCCTTATTTATTTGTGTGCTGACTCGGCAACAGGTTATAATACGGACATGTTCAACGGGAGGAAATTACGGTATTTACATTTTAATGGCTGACCTAAACATGGCTCTGAATGGGTTATTATTGTTTTCGTGTTGTAATTCGGTACACTTTGCTCTAGACTGGCTTAGCTGTCGTTATGTATTCATTAACCCTTTGAAGCACATGAAGTTACGAAGATATCACCGAGAATGGAAATTACAGGTATTATACCATACGGCCGTGATTCTAGAAGCTAAACACCACAAAGTCTCTGGGAATACAGCCCAAAATTAATGAAGAGCTTTTGGGGAAAAAAAAATTCACTTTCAAATTTTTCAAAAATATTTGGTTTTATGCGCTTTTCAGACAATTTCTGGCATTTTTTTGATTTTTTGAAAATCTGAAAAATTTTAACTTTTTTTTTTTGGAAACCCT